AACCAGCAGTGTCACTTTACTGACGGCCCTACACTGTCACGGTTCCAACAAACACTGTGCTACTGCTGGACCTCATCCGGCCACTCCAGCTTGTCACAATGATAGGAGATTACACACAACAAACCCCCAGGTAATCTAGAGATGCTTACCTATGGCTAATCAGCCAGGATGAAGCTGATCCCCAGCTTACCACAAAGTAAATGAAAGCTTAAACAAACTAAATCACGTTCAGCATCGTTTCTGAAACCATCTTCAGTACCAGCTCAGCTGCATCTGCAGCTGATACTGATCAACAGTAGGCAATTCACAGCAAAAAAACCTCAAGATTGGCTTGAAGGAAATATAAAGGAAATTTTCCACAAGTGAGCCAATTGGATTATTCCTTCACCCCTACAGAGTAAAGAAGAAAACACAACTCCACCTGATCACTCCCCAGCTAATACCAAAATTACCAAAATGACCAATTACTATCAGCTACTGGAGCAACCAGAAACAAACCCCAATCCATTTCCTCCATGCCTATACTCCGAGCCAGCAAGTCACAACAGTGCAATGCTGGAACCATCTGAAAGCAAAGGTTGCCATCCAGCAAGCCAGTGAGCAGGGCACGATCAGAAACACTGGGAATGGCAAGCTGCCCATGGTAGACAGCTGGAGAAACTTTCCCAGCAATTTAGGAATTCTGTGCCCAGTCTGTTTTCACGCAGCAACCAGTGCCCATCAGTCTGGTCTCACAGTGCAAAGTTTGTCCTCCTGTCACCCCACCTCTGAATTCATTCTTTCAAAGTGAGAAGGAAGATGACGACTTTTGGTCAACAACTCTGACCAAGCCATTATCCTAGGGGTATTAAATGGGGAGATAAGAACTTCAGGGCTTTGCACAAATCATATTAGTTCAATTCTCAAATCCGGGTAATGCTTCTTTTCAAAGTATTAATTTCATTTATTCTATTTGCTCTCCCTCTGTCCTGATAACACAAGTGCACATGGCCTCTAAATGAGATCCTCCTATTTTATAAGTTATAATCCTCCCTTTCTAGAGTAGTAATGAGATGTCTTCACTTAATCGCGTTTATTTCCCCCCCCCCAGCTTCTGCTTTTATCCATTCCCATTCCACATTGATTTGTCTCAAAGGTTTCAGTGAAAACCATCAGGCAGGGAGCCACTGGCTCCAAGAGGCTCCTGATGCATATGCTGCACATGCTGCACAGCCTTCAGAGATTACAAAAGCAGAAAGGAGGAAAAAGAGCAGCTTTGCTTGCACAGTTTCCTTTGTTAGTAAGAAGGAATTAAAAAAAAATAGAAACCCCAAAGAACTGTGACGTTAAGAGAAGACATTTTGATTAATTGGAATGGAGAAAGGGAAGACTTCTGGTATAGGGGACCGGTGAAACTATTCACAGCATAGTGAAGCAGTTAAATAACTTGACTCTGATAACTTTGCAAGTTCCTCATGCTAGAAATAGAAAAGGATTTAAAGATAGCTGTATTAATTCTTGGGTATTTTACATGAGATGTAAGGCATGCCACCAGCATTAGTTTGCACCCCTGGCCTTGCTCTGAAGTACTGTACATATAATCCTTGTTGTATTGTTAAGTACCCACAACATTAAATTATTCAGAGAGTCCAGTCACCACCGTGATCCTGTAGTGCTGTACAAACAAACAAACATTTTATCTCTTATACAAATTGGGGAGAGTTCTTCTGCAGCAGCTTAGCAGACTATTTTCACTTAAGCCAGCCCCCAGGGTTAATCAAAAAGCCATATTCAGTCAACAAGGAAAGTGAATGCTGCACTGTTACTCAAAGAGCTGTTTTGCTTCTTAAACTAAAGCTTTAAGGAGTATTACTCAAAACCTAAGCTATCTAAAAGGTAAGTACCTTGTTCAAAGTCATTAAAAGAAATAGAAAGATCAAGACAAAAATGTAGAACAGAACCCAGGTACTTAATCCTAAATCCCTCTTGAAACCAGTGCACCACTTCAAGGAGAAAAAACGACCAAAATCACATCAACCACAATAAAATAACAGTAAGTTTTAATTTACATCCTGCCCCATAAAAAATGAAGTAACTGGCCCCAGAAGCTGTCAGCAAGTTCCCCATCAAAGGTTAATTCTAGTGCACTCTAGCTCTCTTCAACAATGTGCACTATATAACAAGACTGAAATACTTCATAGCAATATTGCTAATAATAAAAGTGAGTGAAAATCATAAAGAACAGATTAAATGACAAGCAACGTTCAGCAGAATCAAAATGAAATCACTTCAAAATACAGCTATCATACTTGGATTTATGGTCTACAAGTGGTAACATTAAAAGAAAATGTTCCAGTACTGCTAGAGACAACAGTACAACAGAGGGCTGCTAATCACCAAACTATTGATATGTTAAAGGCACAGGGCAGCTCAAGATCTTTCTCCAGATATTAAAAAACAAACAAACAAACAAAACTTTTTAATTATACACAGCATGATTCTAAATTTTTACTACATTAAGTGCTGCTAGAAGCAAATTATTCCTTTATTTCTCTCATGGGACTTGCCTCATTTTTCTTTGGCTTCCATAGTAGGTCACAACAAAAACAAAAACAACCCTGGAAGCTTTTCCCTTATAAGTGTAAGCACATAATGTCCAGTGCCATCTGCACCTGGACTACCATTAGGTACCTTGAGTTCCAATACCATCTTCTACCTGAAAGAGAAGACTGACACAGAAGAGATGACAAGCAGCTCACACCCAGTATTTGCCCCACATGCTGGGGCTAAAAAGCAGAACAGGAAACATTCAGGCCCTATTCCAGATAAAGGAAGATAACAATACTGGAAGACAAAGGAAAGATATGATTCGAGTAGGGTTGAGCCAATACAATAAGGTAACCATGCACAAAAGGAAACTGTAGATGAGATAAAGCAAGGCCGATAGGGATCTCAATAATTTAAAGGTCTGACCAAAACAGCTCCTGCTTAGAAGATGACAGACAATAGCTTTGACCTCATCTTTGCAAGGACAGACCAGACAACTCAATTTTTTAAGGATCTTAAATTTATGACTGATCAAGAGATAGTTAAAGAGCAATGAAATTTAACAGTTTCTCATTCTTGCACCATGTTCTGGGCTAACACATCATGGTAAGTATTCATCACAAGGGGAGTCTGATCAGATTTTTGCAGAGCATCAAGTATGCAATATCCAGGTATGCAACACTGCCAAATTAAAAGCTAATTCAGATAACAGAACAGCTTTGCTATGTAAGCAGTCAGGTCCCAACTCATTTTAGAGGTGCCATCTTACACTTCACAAATATTGCTTGACTCTGTTAGTCACATTTCTCCAGCATTATTCTACACCTCCCTGCAGGAGGGTAGGGCTCTACTTTGAGCCTGGCCACATCTTTAGATTGGACAATAAATCCACCAGCTTCTTCCCCTTGCTCTTACAGAAGCCAGTTAATTACATTTATAAAGAGAATATTCCCTTTCTAATGGTCTGCTGACCCAGATGTCCTGTGCAGAGGAATGGCAGTCACCTGCCTCAGACATCACTATTCCAAAGCTCAGCAATGATGCAAGATCCCATGGTCAGGATACAAGAGGAAATTTCCTATGACACAGCTATTCACAAGGTTCATTCCCAGAGCATTAGAGCTACACACCTGCTCTGTTCTGATGCTCTCCATAGGCAGCTTCTAGGGATCACCATCAGAGATGGGCTATAGCTGGAAAGATCTTTTCTTTGAGGTACTGTGACCATTTTTATATAAATTTTATTTATTCAGTCCCCAAACCACCCTCATATTATAGCCTCAAAATGCTCCACAGCCAAGCCATGTGCCTGGGCAAGCCATGCCTATTAGCATTCAACATACAGAAAAAACATGCTCGTAGAAGGATTCTTCATTTAAATCAAGCACAGATTGATTAAGCTACAGCTCAGTAGCATAGAAGAACAACAACAAAGACCATCACCACTCCACTCTGTCCTCTCCCTAAACCATCCTTTCAGTATGTACCAGGCAAGGTGAATTAATCTTAGTCTAGTTCTCAGCATCACAGTCTAAATGAACAGGTAGTTTGACCTCACACTCCAACTCCTCATATCACTGCAGGGCAGGGAAAAGGGGCAGTTCTACTAAGACTCTGCACTGTTTACAGGCAGTGCACCATTGCCATAGTAATGCCAGCATTTAAAAGAAAACAATATGAAATAGTATTATGTCAATATTAAGCACAAATGACAATTGAAATGTACTTCACTGCACTTCTGCCTCCATCACTGCTATGACAACAATCCAGTGGGTCATCTCAGCAACACCAAGGTGCCTAACTAACAGCAAAGGCTGCTGCAGGAAGTCTCCAAAAGTAAGTCTGCCTGCTGGGCAAGAACAAATTGGTTTGGGAGTAAGTGGTGTGCACAAAAACGGTTTATGCTTCCTTGTCCCTAAAAATCAATCTTAGACCTCCTTCAAAGTGTTACAATACTTGACAGTTTTATAACACTTCTTCTGTTATTACCAGTCTCCTAAAAGACTCAGACAAAAGAAGACATTATTACTTTTTATTAATTTGTGTATATGCTCAATTATATTCTAGAAAAAACACAGCAGTCTTAGGATACATCAGGTCAGCAGAATATGATCCTGTATATATTGAAACATTAACTTCATACACTTGAAAGTTCAAAAAAATTCTCAGTAGCTAGACAAGGAGGCCATACCCACACACCACAACTCCCTGCCACAGGTCATGCTGTCCCCAGCACAGCCATTGTTTGTGCCTTCCCCTGCAAGTCTGGCCTTAGCAGCACTGTGTGACACACTGAAAGTGGAGCTTGCAGCTACACTGTGAGCCAAACATTAAGAGATGAGTGGGGGTGAGGAGTGTTTCAGCTTAAATCAAAGTTTCTAAGCTCATCACACAAGTGACATTCAATGAATCCTCCCAAGCAGAGGTATTTTAGCCTGTGCTGCACGAAAACATAGCAGGGCTTTATTACTCACCATCTGGGCTGTTCTCTGCTTCTCCTCATTAATGCTGTTCCTTTCCCTGGCCTCACTGGCTGCTTCCCTTTCCCTTTTGGCCAAACGGAGCAACTCCTCTTGGACCAGAGCATGTTCTTGCTCATACCTGTGTGAGCATCAAAAGTAGAGAGAAGGTGATCAAAGGACTTCTGGCAACGGGGTCATGGCTTACATGGCCTGCCCCTGCCTAGAGCCAAAACACAATTCCATAATCTCTTTGGCACACAGTCTGCTCACAATCCCTCTATTACCAGCAGGAATTCAAAAGCCCAACAAACTTTAAACATGACCTGCAAGTCCAGTGACACACAACTTTGGCACCAACAGTAGAGAACTTCAGTTATATTTAGATCTATTAAGTACTTGATTATGACCTGAAAACAGTGAGAATAGGAAGTAACTAGCTATACAAATACATGCTGCTTTGGAAAAGATCAAGGGACATACAACAATGGACATTTCCTCTCATCCTGTCATTTTTTATCTGGGAGAAGAGAATGAACCCCACCTGGCTACAATCTCCTTTCAGATCGATGTAGAGAGCAATAAGGTACCCCCGACCCTCCTTTTCTCCAGGCTGAGCCCCCACAGCTCCCTCAGCTTGTCCTCATCAGATTTGTGCTCCAGCCCCTTCTCCAGCTCTGTTGCCCTTCTCTGGACATACTTCAGCACCTCAATGTGTGTCTTGTCATGCGGGGCTCAAAACTGAATCCACAGTTTAAGGTGTGGCCTCACCAGTGCCGAGTACAGGGGTACAATCACTGCCCTGGTCCTGCTGGTCACACTATTTCTGGTACAAGCCAGGATGCCACTGTCCTTCTTGGCCACCTGGGCACCCACTGGCTTGTGTTCAGCTGCTGTCAAACGTACGCTCATCGTGCTCAGACCGAATAAAGCACACATGTATACACATACACATTCCAAAAGGAGCTAAACCATTGTCTTTTCCAAGAACTTCACCTCACCTCCTGTACAGTTCCTGCTCTGCAGCAGAGTCACTTGACATTGGTGGATGGATTCCTAGAAAGAAGACCAGAAACCTGTGACAACTACAGTACAAAACAATCCTTCATCACATCATAAATTATTTTAGGAGAATTTCATATTGTCCATCAGGAAAAATTAAGTTTGATGGGTAAGAGTTTGAATTTATGAAACAGTGACACCAACAGCATCATCAATCAGGTACACTGAACAAGGTGTGCTACAGAAACTTTTAGGTGAGGGTGGTAACTCCTCAAACCCTGATATATACTGAAACACAAGCATGGTTTTAGTCCTACTTTCCATTTCCTTCCTCTAGTTCCATTAAGTCTTCCCCTTGACCTCCTGTTTTCCTTGTAATTACAAGGGATCCCACAAGTGGAGATGAAATTATCTGATGGAGTTCAGGCCATCCATAAGGCTAATCTACATTCAGGAAAGATGTAGGCTAACGGCAAACAAATCCCTAAAAGCAAAGGCTGGGTTCTCTAACTTCATGTTACTCTGGATGCCTTAAACAAATCCACCCTGTTAATATGTATCAACAAAGCATATTTGAGAACCAACAGAAATCAAATAGTTTTCTGACCTGTAAAGAAACACAAATTCAGAAATCAAGTTCTCATCATACACTTAGCAAGCTGTATTTATACAGACTACCCTTCCCTATGAGCTTCTTTCCCAAGAAAAAAAAAAAAGCAGCATTTCCCCAACCAACCACAACACACTCCTGGTGCATGCAGTGCATACAAAGAAGACAAGGTAGCTCACCAGGAATGAAAGATAAATTGCTTATTGCATGTTCATCTGAAATCCTAGAAGAGTTTACAAAGTGATACAGGCTAATCAAAGAGCTCCTCTCATAATGAGATAGTACAGTGGCAGCACTACTGAGAGGTGTGTCCAAACAGCCCACTGAGCCAACAATACCTGTAGATTTGGGTTTCCCTTCTGCAGCCAGTGAAGATGGAGCTGTGCCATTGGATGCACGGGGAGATCTCTGGCTGTCCCTTTTACTTTGAGAAGATTCTTTCATTCGGTTCACTACATCTTCAGTGAGCTGAAACATGTATAGGTGGGTAAGACGTTAACCAGGTCAGCTGTTGGTGTACATTTCACTGTGAATGCTCCCTATTTGGTAGTTTCCAGGCTACTACAAAAGTATTGCATTTTTAAAGAACATACCCTATCAGTAAGTGATAAAACCTCCAAACTACTGCCTGACCCTAAAAACTTCACTAGACAATGACAATCTTCCACAACTACTACTGAAGGTGGAAAGAACTGCTAAACAGGTCAACCGTGTGCACAGGGACAAATTTACCAGAAATGGAAGGAAAGGAACTAAACGGGTTTTAAGCCCCTCTATCCATCTTTCTTCCTCTTCCCCCATGCTTGCTAACCCAGCTCAGTATGGCAGAAGAACTGCAAACCGTATGGTAGAGAACAGCTGCACAGCCCTCCCACTCACATAAGGCTGAAAACATTTTTGCAGTCTCAACTTCATTCTCACTCACTGATTTGGGTTCAAACCCATGAAAAAGAAAGAAAAGTTCACTTGGAAGTTTTCTGGCAATTCAAAGGGCTTCCCACAGCGCTGTTATGATTGACCCCTTCCTCCTCCCAAGTGCAAAGGTTCTGGCTCTAGAACAAAATTAAATGTGGCTGCTTCCCCCACTAGGCTGGTCACAGTAGAAGACGTATTTTCAGCTATGCTACTGCCATCCACCTCAACAGTATTTTTAGCATCTTTATTCTACACTGTTATCATGCTCAATGCCTGATTTTAAATCTATGACTATATCCTATTAAAAAAAAAAATCAGGCAAAGACAACTTTACCCCCATCAAACACTTAAACAAGGGGATAGGCACTCTCTTAGCTAACTTTAGTCAAGTAATTAGTCAAAATGGGATAAAAAATGAGTAGCAAAACACACTCTGCAAGCTCATTTCAGGCAGACCTTAGGGGAAAAAACACAAAAAAGCATCAAGAAACAACAGTAGTGAAAATTATGGTAGTATTAAGAAAAAACCACACAACCAACCAAAAAACCAACCATTTCTTAATGGGGAAAGAAAACATTCCTTGATGAAATCACCACCCCTCTCCCGGGTCTGTTTCTACAACACATGCATGTCAATTTCCGATCAAAGTTCAAGCGGCAGCTTTCCACTGTACCTCCTAGAAACACCTCGCCATTCCCACAGTCTCCCATCTCCCTGCCTGTTCAGCCAGCGGAGCTTTGCCAAGACTCTCGGTACCATCACAAGGGCAGAGCTGTATCCTCTCGGATGCCCTCAGAGCCGGGCAGCATCTTTAGCACCAAACTGCTTACAAAGCACGAGGCAGGGACAAAACGGGGTCATTCAGCTGCGAGGAGGGACAGACGGCTGAGAGCAGAGTTGGGAAGGGGAGGTGAAGGGCGGGGGTGTCTCCGCTCAACAACAGCCATGGCCAGGCCCCCAGCCCTCTTTCCCACCACTCTGCAGTCGGCCCATCCATCACCTCTCCAACCCCTGCTCATCCAGCCCTCCAGGTTTTCCTCCCCTCCTCCTTGCCAGTTTCTCCCACTGGCCCCTCCCAGCCCTGCACCTCCTCCCCGACCCCGCGGCCAGACCCCTCCCCATCCCAGCTCCCTGCCCTCCATCACCCGGCCCGGGTCGCCTCACCCTGATGCCCTGCAGCACCCGGACTTGGTCCCGCTCGTCCAGCCCGAAGGTGACCCTCCTGCCGCCGTGGCTGCTCTCGCTGCCGCCCATCCCGCCCGGGGTCTGCTCTCCCCGCCGCACCGGCTGCCAGGAGCGCCTCTGCCCCGGCGCCGCCTGCCAACATCCCCGCGCCCCATTGGCGGCGGCCGCAGGGCGCCCAATGGCGCGGCGTGGTGCTGGCGGCCGCGCGCGGTGCACGCTGGGAGCTGTAGTCCGTGCCGGGGGCGGGCGGCTCGCCCGGCGCAGGAAGGAGCGCTGGGAACCAGCGCGCTCCCGGGATCGCGGGGATCTCAGCTCCCATCCCGGTGCGCCCGCCCTGTGCACCGCCCTTGGAGTGAACACGGCATCAAGCCGCCCCGTAAAACTTCCACTGCCACACGGCCAACTCGCGGGGTTTCTTTACTGGGTCCAAATTATGGGAGGATGGGAACCAGACCACGTGTAGCCACGGGAAAGATAAGCTTCGTGCTTTCCTGGGTTATCTCCTAACTCCAAGACTAATGAACGACGCAGATGTCATCCATCAGGGAGCGTTAAGGGCTGATGAGCCCCCGTGGATGTCCAAGGTAATTCTCCCTCGGCAGCACTGGGACAAAGCATCCTCCCCAGGTTGTGTTGGGGGATATCCCCTCTCACCACACCGGGAATCCCTCATCCACCTCCACACACCGTTTCTCTCCAAAGCCCTCGAGGGAGCTCACCACCACCACCACCACCACATCTTACTCCCATTTCTCTAGTGAAAAACCAAAATTACAGTCTAGAACCTCTTGTCAGTTTTACAGAGGTTGCTCTGGGGGCAGGATTCGCCTCTGCTCCCTTCAGCCCCCCTGTTCCAGCAAGACCTACTGGCTGTGCTGTTACCTGCTGTGACAGGCACATGTGTGGGTCCTGCAAAGGTCAGGCAATTGCTGATAGTTCCTGTGGCCAGGCACAGCCAATCCCCAGCCTAAACCAGAGGAATGAGGAGATAGTGTAAAACACGAGCAGCTGGAATAAGAAATAACAGCTTTGGAGCACCTTTTCCAGACAAACTTTCTGCGTTCCCAGAAATACAGACCAGTCAACAAAGCCTTGGTATCAACACACTACCTATCTACTCAGCACACTACTTATCTACTCACCAGTAGTGCATGGCAGCAGTTTTAACTGTTTAATGTTTATTCTTCACTGCAGTTGATGTGGCAACCACAGCTTTGCCTCAGCACAGCACTCCGGCCAGTGTTTACGGAGTAGTTGGGACTCTCTGCCCCTCAAGATATCCAGGCATCTAGAATATGTTCCTGGAAGCAGTTTTTGTTATTTGTGCAATACCTTGTGCTGGGGACTCAGCCCATTGCTTGAGTTCTCAATTCAAGGGCATTGTGTCAACTGTTTGCAGCACAGAAACACCACACACAGCCAGTCCAGAGCAAAGGTCTGGCCAAAGCTCCCTCCCAGAACACACTCACCTGCCTCCTGTTCATTTCTTGTCTGCCACCTGCTCGCTCCACTTGATGGCACACAGCTTTTGTACTGGAAAAGCAGTCATTCCTTATTCACCTCCTCTGTCCTCTCAGGGTTTCACAGACCTGCAACACAGCTCTTCCAGGCTGGTGAGTTTTTAAACCATGTAATTACTCCTCCAGAAGTCTTTCCATGACTTGTCATCCTGTCACCCTTCCTTAGGCCCTTTCCAGGTGTAACTCCAGCCAGGTGGCAGGCATCATCTGCAAAGATCCAGGAGGGAGAGTAGGCAAAGGCAAACAAAACTGCACATCACACCTCCAGCCGTGCTTTCCAGCAATCCCCAAGAGCCCAAGTATGCCCAGCAGGGCACGTGAGCTGTGGGACACTGATGTGGCAGCTGTGATAATGGTGGAGGAGCTCTACTGTAACAAACACCTTTCCACCTGCACAGGAGCAGAGGATCCCATCCAAGTTAACTCCAGCAGTAGCACCTCCTAAGGCAACTCTCCCACAGCTTTCTCCAAGGAGCCTGGGAAGGAGCTCCAAAAGGTCTTATTGCACAAGGGCATGACCCAATCCCAAGGCAAAGATGAAGATCACCTGGCCATCAAAGAGAACCTGAGGGATACTGACCCCTGCCAGCACACTGAGCTGTTACTCAGCTGTCATGAAACCACAGAATCACATTCTCCCAGCAGTCAGAAAATGTCCTGACACATAGGGTTTATTTCAAAGCCCAGAATAAGAAATACGCAAGAGTCATTTCCAACTTCCACATAAGCCTTTACCCAAGCAATAGAAAAATATCCCATAGCGAAGGCCCCAGTGTTAGACACACCCAGGAACAGCAAGATCTACTACTGAGAAGTCAAAGGTTTCACTGACAGTTACTTAAATCTGGAGACCACTCTCTGCACAGTCATCAGTTGGCCTAGTAATAGCCTTCCAAGAAGGAAAAATCCATCTCTGACAAAAGGACATCATGTTATTCCATTATTATCTGCAATATTTGTTCAGGTTTTTTTTCAAATCTGCAACTTATTTTTCCTCCATAGTATGTCTCATTTCAGAAATGAAGTATGTATGACCAATTATGCCAAACTTAATTTTATTTTACAAACAAAAATATACATTTATTCTATATTTTCTCTCTTTTTACCACCCCCCCCACACACATAACACACTTCTGCTCAAGAACTTTGAAAATGGCCCAAAGCATTATATATACATAAATATACAACAGGGGGAAGGTCAGTCCATGACCTAGTGCAGAAACTCCTCAGCAGCAGAACATGGGACACTCCAGAAATACTGAAGTCCTGCCAGCAAAGGACAGGATGGATGCGTACACCACCAGCACAGGTGATCCTTCAGCACTGAATTCAGCTGGTAAAAGACAAATTCATAACCTGCTCTTCACATCACCAAGGAGGACAGATAAGTCCTCTCAGACAAGATGTTGAAAGTCAGCAAAAACTCCTTGGGATGAAAAAGCCATTGCTCCTTTGTTTCCCAACTTCTGTGAGACCTTCGCATCTCTTAGCTCTGTCCAAGGCCCACGAACTCCAGGGAAGCTTCACAAGTTTCCCCTCCCTTTCTAAGGAACAGCAGCTTGAGATCAGTGTTGTAAAGCAGCAGTAGGAGCAGCAGCAGGACAATTCAGGTACCACATCATCCATCCCTTTCAGAGCAAGCAGTCCAGCGTGGCTCAGGCCGACTGACAGCAGTGACAGAGGAGCTTGGAACACTTCTCTAACATGGCAAGGCTGGACTTGGCCAGTTGTTTGTCCAGCCCTTACAGAGTCATTGCATGGAAGGGAAACGTGAAAGGCTGTGACCTACAGGAGACAACTCCACTCTCACACACAGACAAATGGAAGCTTTTTTTCCCCTCAAAAGTAAAATAAAGCAAAAAAGAGGGGGTGGGGGGGAAGCATTGTTTGTTTTTAAGGTGCTAGTGCTACTTAGAGGCCTGCAGGGCAAAGTCCACAGGCAGAGAGGCTGCATTGCTCGTTAACAAAATAAGCAAAGGGCCTGCATAGTTTTAGCAACCAATATGAACTTCTTGTTCTTACCCATGTTTTCTTTCCCTATGGTGGGAACACCTGGTAGCAAATGCTTTCCTCTACCTGCTCATGATTCAAACTAAGACTTGCATGACAATTTCCCAGCAGCTCTTACCTCAGTATTCTTCAGGAACAGCAGTAAGTTGGGGCATGAGATTCACACAGTCCCCAGCATTTCAAATTCCCTCTTTCTACCACCTCTAGAGAAAAGTTGCTATTGCTTATAGCAGATCTCCACCTACCTAGAGGACTCAAGTAGGAAAGCACCCCCAAAGCTAGAGGAATACACATCTTCATCCTTGGAGAGCACAGTATGTCCCAGAAAGCAGACTGATGAAGCTTTCAGATGAACAGTCCCTGGATTGGAACACACCATGTCTTAAAACTGCATGCCAGGCAGCTCAGATGATAGTCCCTTTTCCAGCATGGAAGAGGTTAATAAGAAGTTCAAAATAGTCTTTAAATTAACCACTCTCCACATGCACATAAGTATTTTCAACATATTGAGCCATAAAACTTTCTCAGACCAGCAAAAATCTGGGGATCTCAACTGCAACATCAGAGGTCACTCCCAGAGAAACACATCCATCTCGCACTTGTCTCCTACCATAGCACACCAGCCAGCTCAATTCTAGCACACCTAAGGGGTTTGAGAGCTTCCAGTCACTAAATACTGACAGCTCGGACTCATCATGGGCTTCTGCTCTGCCTCAAGCACCTGAACATCTCTGGAGCCTTCATCTGCAGAGTCAGCTTCCTCCTTCCAGCACTCTCCAAGCCCTAGCCAGAGCCATGAAGCAGGGCACAAATGGAAAATGCACTTACTTCACAGGTTTTATTCTTGAAACTCAGCTCTGACTCAGTGTTGTTGCTTAGGTTTTCCTGTGAGCTCAAATGCACAGCACTACAGCCTCCACAGACTGTTTCACAGCTTCTTCAGCTCAGCTAGACAGCAGCACTGTCTGTCCTTCTGTCTCCCTACTGTTCAGTCACTTCACACCCATGCTGTGAGCTACCAGCCTGCCCCAAATGCTTCCCAAGCACAGGGAACAGTTCATTCCTCTTAATACCTCTCTTTTTCCCCACACACTCAGAATACCGCTTTTAACCGCTAGCAATTCCAATTCACGATTTTCACCAGTGTTAGCTGCAACCAGGGATGAGCCCCAGTGACCAGCTTCTCTCTTCAGATGCTGCTATCACCACCTATGGTGTTGCATTACGGCAGGACACAGGCAGCCATGCTGCTTGAAAAAGCCCAGGAAGACCATCTTTGGTTTCAACCACCAAACTCTTTCTATATATGTACAATACAGCAGTCAAATCAACACCCTCATTCCTAAACAACATTCCCCTTATTGGCAGACAAGTGCTTTCAGTCACTGAAAAGGAAGAGGTGCCAGCCAGGGCTGTCTTCTGGATCATATTCACATCTGGAACACAGAGGATCAGGGAAGTTCAGTGTTTATAGGATTATGAACAAAACTGTTCTCAGGTAGCAAGAGAAAATCTTCTTTCCAAAAGGGTTTGGGCTGCCAACTTAGTTCCACAATAGGTTTTGGAAATCCTAAGGAAAAGAAGAAAGCCATGGCAGATAGCC